GAGAAAGCTGGATGGTGGTGAGGCGGGAAATCTTCCTCGGATACTGTAGAGCTGTACTCAGCAGAAATATGCCTCGTGAAGGGCAAACAGAAACAAATTGAATTTAAGTGTGTGTGCTGGTGTAATCTGATCTAGTGCTGGTACATTTTTCAGCAAATCACCCAGCTGAAAACCCCCCAAAAAACCTGACTGTGTTGCCATGACCACAAAACCAAAAGGTAACAACGACTGTCATTTTGGCCTGACTGCATCTCTAACGGGCGTAGCTACCTCGATGCCACCCGCTTTGAACCTGGATGTGACAACAGAGTGACCGTGAAACCCTCATCCTTACTGGCTAGTGACACACAGGTTGCTTGCCAACAAGCATATTCCGGATAATCGAATATAAAATAAAATAACAAAAATGTACAAAATGCATTAAGGTTTTTTTTCAGTATGACCCCAAATGAGTGACTGAGCCCATAGATTCATCAGGAGAGTGTTTACAGAGAACCATTTCCCCATAGACTTCTGTAGGACTGGAACCACAGCTGTCGCCCCCTTGTGGCCATTAAAAATAATGCCATTTTATATTAGCTTTGCTTTTCAGACTCAGTCTTTCTTGCTTCTGTGATGTTATTTATTTATCTGCAGACCACCATGGCTAAGTCTTTTCAGCTCATACTGATTCTTCTTTACTCTCCTCGTCCTTCTCTCAGCACCAACAGGAGTTACTGGCGCTCAAGCATCAACAAGAACTGTTGGAGCACCACAGAAAGATGGAGCAACAACGTCACGAGGAGCAGCTGGAGAAGCAGCAGCGAGAACACAAACTCCAACAGCTCAAAAACAAGGAGAGGGGACAAGAGAGTGAGTAGCGACTGCCACAGAGAATTATTTTTAAAGAAAGTGACCAAGAGAGCTTCATCAAAAATGTGCACAGCGTTACTGTTAGAAGGTAACGTATGGCCAAAATAGTCAGTTCGGTGCTTGGATTTACTCCGCAGTGGGATCAAAGGTGTTATGAACAAAGTCTTCATGTTCGACCGAGCGCATATTTGCTCTGCTGTGCGCTGCCAACGTCTGCTGTACCTGTGCAGAAACACTGTGTCATATTATCACAGCAGGTGTCAGAGGAGCTCGGCCCTCGCAGCCCCTCTGTCACAGCACCTGCAGTTACAGCACAGCAGTCAGAACAGCCTGACCTCACACATTCACCGCAGGGAATATCATAATAAGACAGCCAAGACGGGGTTAGAGGGGTGAGACGTCGTGCAGAAAGACATGTCGTCAGTTTTTCTACAGGCGGACTGATTGCGAAATAAAATGACAGCAATAAAACTGAACCAGGCAATGTTCTCTCTCTTTTTATTCCCTTTAAACATATTTCTTGGTCCAATGCTGGTCTGGTATCATTTCTTTAGACGTCCTTGCACCAGTTATTTAATCTCTGTACTCACCAATAACAACTGAGACAGAGCAAGATCATCTCTATTGTTTCCTCTACTCAAAATATTCGAACTCTCCTTTAAAATAAAATGTAATTCCTTATTATTTTAGCAGCATCAAGCTAATTGTGTTTCTAATTGTTACAGGTAAATAGTACTCGTATGAAAGACTCACTGCGTAATTGACTTTGAATTTCCTTGTTTAATGGCACTTTGTTTATAAACGTACCCTTTCGGTGACATTTCTGAGCCACACTTTACTAAATTGCTTCTCCACTTGTACTTATACTTGAATCACTCTTGTAATATAGGAAATATGCATTCATCCATGCTGCTGTGTGTTTGTGTGCATTTTCATGTCTGTAAATGAACAAAACGAGGTTTTGGATACGACCGTAAACACAGTTTAACGAGGAGGAAATGGCTCACGTATTCCTGTATTCGTACTGATATAATACTAGAATGAATATATATATATACACACACACACACATACACAGTGTATGGACCCCCACTTTTCAGAGCCATTATTTTTTTCCAGTAATGCCCTTTTTCTCAATCATTCTGCGCTGAGCAGAGTGAGCCTACAGTTTGACGTCTATGGAAAAAGCATTGGGTTGCAAACAGAGGAAGCTTTGTTAAGTACTGCACTAAATTGCATCGAAGGCAGTCTCATAAAAGCCAATTTGCTTCAGTGGCAAAGCAGACATATTGGGACGTCAGCACTTCCAGCTGCACTATAATTTAGGGAACATGTATTAGCTGTTGTCATTTTCACACAGTGAATTTACCACTTCTGCTCTGAGGCTCGACACGTCACCTGTTATCACTCCTACTGTCACATTCTAATGAAAACACACCTCTACTTTTTTTCTCTACGTTCTGAAACCAGTTTTTTAAGCCCGGCTTCCCTCGCTCTTCATCTCTCCCTCCCTCTCACCTGCCTCTGTCTCCCTCCCTTGATAATTTGTTTGTTGCTGTGAGAGGAGGTTGGTAATTGAGCAGAGACCAGGAGCGGAGTGAAACTCGTGAAGCACGTCTTCGAGGCAGGTTACGTAGCGCTGCAGTGGTCTCAGTGGGATTTCAGTGACACTCTAATGCAAGATTGTGCGCTCTGATTGTAGAACTCAGATTGCCGTTATCTGTCAAAGTATGGATGGATGTAGTTATAATCTTCCTAGTGTCATAGGTTGGATAATATGGCAGCAGCTCACGTAGGGCAAAAGTTTCTTTGTGTTTTGGTTGGGAAGAACGTGGCGGTGCTGAAAAATGTTCGCTTGCTTACTCTTCTGCCCGTCTCTGTGTTGCTGTGCAGGTGCAGTCGCCAGTACAGAGGTAAAGATGCGACTTCAGGAGTTTGTCCTGAGCAAAAAGAAAGCCTTGGCTCAGCGAAACCTAAACCACTGTCTGCCCAGTGACCCACGCTACTGGTATGGGTGAGTGTTTTTGTTTTTGCACACGTTCTGCAACAACTACGTCACAATTTGTGAAGGAATTCCTGAATATCTGTTTGGCTGTGTAAGTAGTGAAAGTGAATTTCCGAGTGTTGCATGTTGTTTTTGTTTTTTTTGCCAGTTCATCTCAGTGAATAAACATTTTACCACAAATGCATTGCATTAATTGCCAACTTGACCCAATTCGGTGGAAAACTGATAGCAGATGAAATTCCATCTTATTGCTGTTTTGTTGCTGTCTTGACACAAAGTCTGTTTGAAGATGGTGGCTGCCCGCGAGCAGTCACAGACTTCCTCCACCTTCAAACCAACCATTTCAAGTTCATTGCACACGGAGGTTGCAATGAACTTGTGGTTATGCCACAATCTCCAACCACTGTGTTCCTTAGTGTGACCGTACCATTGTGAACGTGGTGCCGGGGTTACCACGGCCCATCTGTGTGGAGTTTTGATGTCCTCCTCCTCCTTCTTCCTTCTCAAGTCAAACATTTTAAAGATGAAATAATTTTAGAGCAGTTTCTTCACACGGGTCAGGAATTAAATGACAATCCCAAACCCCTGAGCCCTACACTGATGGCTCTGTTATACCGTGGTACACTTTTCTACTTCTGATAGAAATCAGGATGCGACGTTTTGGATTAACATGTCATTAACAGCTCTCGCTGCCACCATCAGACTGGTCTTTCATACATCAGGTGGTTTAATATAGACTTTGTAGATTGATTGAAGTGAAAAGACTTTGTTTTAAATCCTTTATGTTGACTTTTTTTTTTTAAAAAAAATTCACATCAGTATTTCAATAACCTTAATATTCAGAGCTATGAAACATCAGCATGTGATATTTCTCGTGCATTTACGAGAGTTTGGTTGCTGCTTCTTTTTTTTTTTTTAAAATCTGAGCAAAAAAAGAATCGACACTAGGAAAAATATCAAACATAAAAACCAGTGATGAGCAACATGAAAGTCTCTCATCGTCCTGGCTTTGCAAACATGGCGAACCCCGTGGTGTTATGAACTCCTGTTGTGTAGGCGTCTGTCATTGATGTGCTTTTGTGTTCACATCAAATTCCCAACATCAGCATTAGCCTCTCTGAGTCGAGCTGCAGAGAAAACGTTGAAGCGATGAGGCTTTTTTTTCCTGTCAGTGTTTGTTGTCAGTGATTGACAGCTAGCTCTCTTTGAGGTGTGTGCGCATGTTTGAAGTGGGCAGAGAGAAAAGACAATGGCACCTCTCCTGTGCTTTAAATATTTGAAGAGGCTTTAAGCAGTCAAACATTTCTGCCAAGGCAGGAGATGATGGAATAATCAGGAGGACTGTGCTGCCAGTCACTATAAATCACGCTTATCACGGTTTCCCCTTTCTTTGGGGTTCTCTCCGTTTGTTTGACCTGTTGGCATTCTCCTCACTTCTCTCATGCGTGTATTCCCTCTCTGTTTCACCTTTGTCTCTGTGCATTTTCAGCCCGTTTACTTTCCTAAAATGAAAAATGGAAAAAAAGGTTTTCAGCTTTCAAGCTTTGTCCCTCTAGCTTTACCTCTTTCTTCCTTCCACCCACGTCATTGTCCACGCTCTGACGTGTCTAGCTGACTTTGGAGAGAAGACACAAGCTTGTGTGTGGGTATGCGAGTATCAAAAGTTACGTATAGTAATAGATTGAGCTGGGAATGTGTCGTGTGTACAAAGCCGGCGGAGCAGAGTTTCCACATTCATGTAGCACGTTACACTGATACTGTTTAGTGTTTTTAATCGTCTTTTTTGTGTTGTTGTTGTTTTTTTGTTTGTTTTTTTTTGCAGAAAAACTCAGCATAGCTCTTTGGACCAGAGCTCACCTCCACAAACGACACTGTCGGCGTACAACCATCCCATGCTGGGCACATACGACTCAAAAGATGACTTCCCTCTCCGCAAAACCGGTACAGAAGGCTTTGCTGAAGTTGTGTTGATTGTTGACATTCCCCACACTTCCACAGTGCTGCACTGATCTTCCTTTTTCCTCATTTAGCAACGTGAACGTTTTGTCTTACTGGTTATCAACCACATGAAAAATTACGGGAGCTCTTAAAATTGTTGTTTAAAAAGATAACATGGAAGATTGAAGATAATAGAGCCCTCTGTTTGCTTAGTAGTCCGCTAGCTTAGCATTGCGTGAGGACTGGAGGCGGAGTCTGTCTAGACACAAACTAGATCAGGGGAGTCAAACTCAAATACACAGTGGGCTAACGTTAATATTTATTGAAAAAAAAAATCTTCCTCCAGATATAAGGATGAATCTTTTCTTATGGACTCAAACAAGTTTTGCTGAAAAACTGAATATGGAACAAGCAAAGCTTAATACTAAACAATATATATATTAGCTGTATAATACCAGTAGGCCAGCTCTAATAGTAATTTGGTATGGCTTTGTGGGCCAAATGTAATTAGGCTGCGGGCCAAATTTGGCCCGCCGGCCAGAGTTTGACACCTATGCACTAGATTTTGCTGTTTTGGGTTTGTTTTTTTTATGAAAAGCCAAAGTAGAAATGACAACAATGGGCAGGTTGTCAGGCAACCAGCACAAACTCAAAGATAAGAGACCTGAAATGGTTCTGAAAAAACATTTGTCTTGGTTTCAAGGTCTTACAGTAAATGTGAGTGGAAACATTTTGGTCAGCTTCTCCTTTGAAAAACTCTGTAGGCTGTTTGCATTCTTTAAGATTTTAACTCAGTCATTCGGTCACACGTCTTCACAGACACCGTGGATCGCTCCGGTCAACAAAACAGCACTGAAGGAAATGTAAAACAAACTTACTGCCTTTTGGTTGCATCAGATTCTGTCCATCTGTCCATATTAAGCACAGCCAAGCTGTGATTATTCACTTAGCGTCAGCAGCTGCTTTGGCCGTATCACTGGCTGCTTTCACAGCTGGAGGCCGAACTCTGTGTACTCTGCACTCTTGCCCACCTGCTGCGCATTGGAGGCAGCAATGATTTTTCCTGCCACACAAGCTCACACTGCGAGTTTCAACTTTCAGGGACACTTAATGTAATTCAGGAATTTTCTCCTGAGAAATATCCACAACTTAAAAATTCTTCCCACTGAGCACTGACACAAAGCTTAATGAGGAGTTAATTATATATCAGAGCGCGCGTGCAAAGACCTCTTTAAGATAAGCGTTGTGGATTTTAAGGTATTTCTGCTTGCGCGATATAACCAGAGCGAGAGATGGAAAACTCGATTGCGTATAGACATACAGATATGGCTTCTGAGGAACTGTTGTGTCAGAAGTGAGCGGGACTGGCTGAAGTGAATATGTGAACTGTGTTCGGAGGAAGTGAGTGAAAGCAGTCGCCGCAGTCGTGCACTCTGCTGACGCTGGAGCTGTCACACATGACGTTTTTGCCCTATTATGTTCACTGAATGTGCATTAAAAATTATTTTTTGACTAGCAAGTTCAGGCACACAGTATATTCCAAAAGGGGCTCATTGTTCAAGTATGGAGGGCTTTGTGGTGATGACTCTTAGAACACAGAAGGCCACTTTGAATGCTACGGCAGGAAGTCTGCAAGGCCTTCACGACAGAGGCAGACTTGTCATGCTGACCCCATTCCTCCCTGTCTCTTTCATACGAGATCACACACTGACATTCCCATAACACACTTTGCACTAATGCCGAAGCATGCAGGATATCCGCATGCAATTCAGAACTTTCCTTTTTCCTTCTTTTATCCTGCTCAGCTTTACATTTTGACACTCCTTTATGAGCTGCATGTCTCTGGTGACTGTGGTCAGGAAGGTCACATCCTAGCTTTGAGTTTAACTGCGTTCTTTATTGCTCCTATCTAACCCCAGGATGAACACTTAGCACTTCTACATATTAAACTAAACAAAAGGTAAATCAAGCAAAAGACTGACTGTTTGTGATGTTGCTGGAATGTGAATTGGTTGCGCTATGCTCTTATGGGTCGCTCTGGTATGTTACAAATGGCGGTAAAATAGCCGAATTGTAAAAATGGCTCCATTCTTTCATTCTCGCTTCTCATATACGGCTCGGCTGTCGCTGGTTTTAACAGTTGTGTCTCCCCTGAGAAAACCTCAGTGTTTATAATCAAAGGGAAACTGTTGGCGAGCTCTTTGGTGTCTTATGTTCATATTTATTTAATGTGCCCGCAAGAAGTCTTTTCTTGAATTATGGTTTTTAATCACAATGCTGTCTTTTCGTGCCATAAAATGGCTTTAGTGAACTGCTTAATCAAAGTCGATTGACTTTATTTTCTTTTTATGTTTTGTAGAACACATGCAAATGAGACAAAGGCTTGTCTATATGTCTTTGTGTCTGTGTCCATCTAATCCATTTATCTAATGTAGATCCACATATGATGTTTCTCGGAAGCTCAGTTGATGAGTTTCAGCAAACTGCTCTATTGATTTCCATAAACCTCCCTCACTCCCTTTCCTTGGCACAGCAGCACGGCTTCCCCTGGCTTGACTCCTTTAGTCCGGGACTCCTCTCTGTCAAAACAAATGAGCATCTGATCAATATGTTTTAGATCTGAGAACCGGTTTCCCCGTCACCTCCCTATTAAAATATTAAATACCACATATGCAGATGTTTAATCTGAGATTTAATGGATAACTTGAAGTGTAAGGGATCAGAGTTTTTGTCCTGTTCCGTGAACAGAAAACCATCAGCACGATTCATATAGCCACGTGACGTCAGGGAGTCTTGATGCATGGTCAAGCATCCAGGTAGGACGTTTCTAGAATTTCATCTGGATGTTTTGAGGGGGTGATAGAAGATATAAAATGTGCCTTAAATTCAAATATGTTATGCCATATCACATTTATCATGCTCGGACTGTTGGTTTTTAAAGTATGTGTTATATAGGTTATAGAAGTCCTTCTGGTCCCATCTGTTATCACACCTACAAGGCCACACAGTTATGCTAACCTATCCTAATGTCCTGCTCTGGTGGGAGATGATCTAAATCTGAAAAAAAGAAAAACAAAATCGAGGCAGTACTGTAACAAGTAGAGCTCCAACAAGCAGTGTGTCCATGAAGAGTCAACAGTAAGGAGCAGGAGAGGAAATAATTCCAGAGAAATGGGCTCTTAGACTAAGCCAAAGAAAGAAGGGCATGGATGGAGGTGAAGGAGGCACAAAAGGCTGCAATAAAACGCTATCATCAGCAGAAAAAAAAACAGTCTGGGCCCTCTGCAGCGAGTGTGTTCGCACGTGTGCACACTGGTGTGCTTCTGCCCAGTCGGCATTAACACCCTTCAAAGTCACTGTGTCCTGAGGTGAACACTCCCATTGTGAATGGTGCCCAGCAAAGACATACACCCTGCTTCACCCTCCTTCCTCGTCTCTTTAACGTCCTTCTAATCTCCAGCTTGTCCTTCGGTAGCGGTCGCACACTAGCCGCTCCCTTTAGCACTCCATATCGTAATAACTCTCACACACAAAAAAACCAACCTTGAATGCATCTCTCTTGTGTCTGCTGTAACTACCTTTGTGGTTCTTTCTTCTCAGTTTCCATTGCCTGGCTGCTCATGTACACAATCTGCAGACCAGAGTGATTTTTTTGATTGCAGAAACCTATTTTTAGTCTGACTATAGTTCAAATCCTACTGACCAATCATGTTTGAGCATGCTTGCAGGGAGGTAAAAGCTCCAGTTTGAGAGCAACAGAGTGGCTCAGAAACATCAGCTAGCATCTGATGACTATTTAGCTTTTTCTTAGCTTTTACTAATGTATCAGTACACATAAACAAGCAGGGGCATGTGACTCAGTCCACAGGTAGACCTGAAACTCTGAGAGGCACTTTGTGCATTAAACTACTTTTGATGGAGGTAGATCAGCTCAGTTTCTCATAGATTCTCAGCACACGGTTATCTTACTCTTCCCAGTATTTAAACGAATAATTGAATCATGTTTAAACCAGACAGAGTCATTCAGGCAAGCCAGTTATGTTGAATGCTTTCTTTTATGACAGCTACAAACTTCATCAGTGAATGCTGGCATTCATACAAAGATAACACTGATATTGATTGCCTTTTTTAATGGCTGAGAACTACACAAAGGCCAACTTTTGTTCTGTTTTGTTGATTAAACCAGAGATTATTAAAGCAGAGAAAGTCTGACGTGCAGTTATTCTTGTTTTTCAGCTATCATTATCATGACAGCACTGAGAGAATGGTCAGGCTGTTACAGTTCAGCATGTCATAGTTTAAAATAAAACTTTAATGCACTGCGCTCCTTTTCTCACAGGCTTCACTCTCCCAGGGTCTCCTCCTGTTAAACTAATGCATAGCATTTTATCCTCACTCTCCCTGGGAGAGTCTTAACAAAGACTTTGGAAGAGTGCCCTCCACTAAGAAGGAGGTCTTTTTTTAAATAATTGACTTTCATAAGTTCTGCAGCACTGTTCCTCTTAAAATTGAGAGTGCATTTGAAAAAGTACTTAGACATTATAGATTCATGATAGTTTATCTCATCCCCGCTGACCAGGAGGTATAATGAAAGCTAGCATCTCTTTGAAGTACATTAAAACTTGGTGCATTATCCTACTTTGATTAGCATTCTAGGGGCCAGAGGGTTTGTAATGACCCAGAATAATTCTTCTGCTGCAGAATAAATCTCCACATTACACAAAGAATCAATCGCTTCCACTTGGCTGTACCAAAAAGCCCGCCTCCTTCTCTGAGGCTAATGAATGAGGCATGGTCTGTTTGATACTAGGTCAGGGGACGAGCATAGGGTCAACTGGTGGTCAACCGTCCTGCTTTACCTAAGTGAACGGAAGGAAGCCAGTGGAGGAGAGAATAAAACTGCCTGTGTTTGGTAAACTGCCTACGACAGAGACACCAAAGCAGCACTGTCAGGCGCTGATCGTGACATGACAGGAATCCCGGATATACCGTACGCCTGCCTCTGACAAGCCTCTGCACCTCATGTAGCGCCTTCCCACACCACCATTCCAGAACAGGAGCATCGGTTTACAGACAGAGCCACACACAGCATTTGCGTAGTAACCTAATTGAAAACACTGGCGGTTTCCTTTTCATTTTTCGTATTTGTGTTAAATTGGAAGTGTCTGGCAACAAGCAGTGTTCATTAGCAGAGCGTGGAAGGCAGCATCATTAAGCGTGGGGTCAAGGAAACTACCATTTGGCTGCTTCCCCTGGTGTTGCACCGCTTCCCGCTGTCACATCATGATGGCAAACCTCAGCTCCCAAATATGTCAGCCAGTGCATACAGTGTGGTCTATAGGGACAAGCTCATTAGCACCGCTACACGCCAACAAACGAGCTCGCACTCGTGTGACCCACAAATCTGAGGGCCAGACTGCCAGGTTAGAGAGACTGTGTAAACTGTAAGTCATTTATGGGGCGAGCTTGAGCTGTGACACATTTTATTTTTAGAAATGGTGCTTTAGTTGGAAATTAAAGGCCTCTAGCCCTGTCGCAGCTCAGCTATTTCAGTTATAGACATTACAAACAGACATGAGTTTAAGTCAAAGAAAGTCTGATTTACTTTAGGATGTAACATTTTAGCGTCTTTACGTTACAATATGAAATGCTTTGAGGTGACAGCTGTAGTGACGTGGCACTAAATCGTTTAAACTGGATTGAAATGTGTGGACATTTGTGTCTTTTCAGCTTCTGAGCCCAACCTAAAGCTTCGTTCCCGGCTAAAACAGAAGGTGACGGAGCGTCGCAGCAGCCCTCTGCTCCGTAGGAAAGATGGACCCCTTGCTACTGCTAAGAAGCGTCCCCTAGACGTTGCTGGTAAGGACTCCTGTCACTGTTGTTTTAAGGTGCTATCACAAATAGTAACCCAGTTTGATGCATTTCAGTGCAGAAAGTTGATTCATTTTTTATTCATTGTATGTACTCTAGAGTCTGCATGTAACAGTGCACCAGGCTCAGGTCCCAGTTCGCCCAACAATGGCTCCAGTAACATCCCCACAGAGAATGGGATCACAATCTGCAGCAGTCCAGGAGAGGTAAACATCATGGCATCTCTAATTATAGCGTATGCACATGTGTGTTTGTGAAGCAGGACACCAGGATTTGCAGTGTTAATTTATTTTAATAGAGGCATCAGCCAGTGTAGCAGAAATAATGACGGATGATGATGG